AACTGGAAGCAGGAGGTTGACTCTCTTCTCAGTGGCATTACTGGTTCCTGGGTTACTTTTCTGGGTCCTTTCTTTCTCCAGCTATAAAATGGAGTTGATATTGACCACACAAGAATATTATGAAGAATAAAAGAAAAATCTATGCTAAATTGATCTGGATCATCAGCGTTAAGGAGCTCTTCATTGCCAGATGACGATTACTGTAGAACCTAGTTACAAAACAGGGAGAACAAGAATGCTCCTTAGTTATGTCATTTCTTGATGACCCAAGAAAGAGGGCACACTGGAGTGCTTAAGAAGGTGCGCGTCAGAGTCAGGCTTTCTGGGTGCAGTTCTGACTCCATCACGAGAACTTGGGCAAGTAAGCGACCCTCTGCCTCGGCTTCCTCATTTATAAAACGAACAGCACAACAGTACTTTCCTCAGAGAGCTACTGTGGAAATGAAGTAAGAGAATACATATGAAGAAACTTAGCATGTCTCAGCTATACAATAAGCAATAAAAATGATTAGATATTATTATGTGACTCAAAATCAAGCTAAAACTGAGCTAATCTAGAGTAGTAGGTGAGTAGCAGGTACCATCTTCCTCCAGTATTTTACTACGGATCTTATAGTTAAGCCCAAATTTTTAAAAAAGCTCTAGATTAAAGTCTACAAGGTGAAAACTACATATGAGTGGGTGACTAAAGGAAGACTCATAGGTCATAGGTATAGAGGAATAATTGGTTGGAAACAGGTATTAAGAGGTCGTCTCCCAGAGAAGTTGAGGTACTTGATTCATATTATCAGCTAGCAGAAGAGTCAGCCCCATTAACCTGTGATAAAAGGTAGGGGCGGGGCAGGGTGGAAATATGGATGACACCAATATTAGAGGCCTGCCATGACTCATGAGTCATGATTTGGTGTGACAGGCAACAGCAATACCCTAAGCCCCAGTACAGCAGAGAACACATACAAAAGTTTTCACATTAATGATCAATTGTAAGGTCCTGGAGAATATCCAGGTCTCTTGGCTTCTGGTCAAGAGATCTACTTATTGACCTCTTATGATCCAGACACTTCCCTGCAAAGGACATTCCTCAGGGTCTGGATCTCACCTACCATCTATTGCCTTTTCCCTATCATTTCTTAATTATTCTTATGCCTTGCCAGCTCAAACTCCTTTCCAAGTTAACTATTATCTCCTGAAACCAGAAGTGCTTTACAAAAAATGTCAATGACCGTATTTGGAGGGTAACCAGCCTGGCATGCAAAACCCTCTCAGACATGTCCTCCACCCTCCCCAAATCTGCTTCCTTTGCTGAACAATTCATTTCTTTCCTGGTTGGAAACTGGCCTTCCCACCCATATACTTGGGGCTCACAGTCTGGGCTGTCTAGAAACAATTTCTTCAGCTGCATGGCCAGGGGCCAGCAAAGGGCCTGAGAACCTACAGTATGAAGAGCCACCTACAGTCCTAATAGGCAAAGGTAAAAGAGATATAGAAAATGGAAGGAACAGGATTTCTTGGAGAACTATGGGGCAGGACCAAATATGCCTGGACAGCGAGCTAGAGAACTAGTCCTCGGACTATTGCTAGGGCAACAGAATCTTGATTCTGCCCTTCACTTCATTAATATCAAAGTTTCAGGTGGGCATTAGACTCAGCTTTTGGCAGAAGTAGATGCCCCCACTGTGCTTGGTATACCAGATCCACTGGCAAGCCAACAGTAACAGAAAGGCACTCTTTATCTGGGGTTCTTGGTAAAAGTCTTTTGTTTTGCAAATCACCCTAGTTCTAGGTAGTGCAGTGCCTCTTTTGGCAATCCATTTAATTGCTCTGATCCTCAATGTACTCATCTGTAAAATTGAGGGTGAAACTTGCCTTCTACACATAAGTGATATAGTGATCCAATAAATAAATTATCCAACTACAAAGTAAATGATAAAGCATCATTTGTCACTCTAATAAATTCCAGGAGTCACACAGTCCAGTTTCAACAAAAGTCAGAGAAGCACAGTCAAACACTGAAAAATAATGAAGAGAGGATTCTAATCTTAAGTAGCATCTATCAAAAAGCATTAAGAAAAAATTTTTAAAAAAACATTAAGAAGGAGCCAGTTCACAGACTTCAGAAACATTTAGCATTTCCTTTCTCCCCTCTCCATTCCCCACACAACTGAAAGCTACAGGAGACGTTTATTCTCAAATCCTAGTTTCTCATCTCTAAGCTCTGTGACACCCCCCTCCCTCCCTATTTCCCTCTTCCTTGGTCCTTTAACATGTAAATCAACTTAAACTCTATTACAATTTTCGTTTTTCTCCCTACTTGACTATTACTTAGATGTGAAATCTATAGGAGCTCTGGTGGGTTACATGTTGGGCTGCTAACCTCAAAGTTAGTGGTTTGAACCACCAGCTACTCCTCAAGAGAAAGATTAGACTTTCAGCTCCTATAAAGATTGACAGTCTTGGAACCCTGCAGAGGCAGTTCTACTATGATGATATTGAGTGAGTGGATGTGGGATCCAGCAGCCCACTCGTTTTTTTTCTCCACCTGCCACTCCTACTCTAGCATTTCATCTAATTCCATGATTTCCAACTAAATGCTTCAAAAATAAAGTGGGTAAGAGACCTATCTCTAAAAGGAAGAAGCTCAGCACAGAAAAATCTCTGTAGAGTTAGGATGGGAAATGGGACATATTCATGCTTAAACCCATAATGCATTAATACATAGTTGAAGAACCAAAATAAACACACTGCCATCAATTAGATTCTGACTCATAGTAACCCTATAAGATAGAGTAGAACTGCCCCTAATTTCCAAGACTGTAAATCTTCACAGAAGTAGAAAGTCTCATCTTTCTCCCTCTAAGTAACCGGTGGGTTTGAACTCCTGACCCAGCGACTAGCAGCCCAATGTGTAACCCAGTCCTCCACATGACACGGGTCCTATAAATTCATTAAAGGTGGTTTACTGCAGACAACGCAACATAGCTTCAGAGGAGGAGTATACAGGAAGGAGGTTAGTGTGGTCCCTATCGGAAGGCAGGCTTAGTGGTTTGCCTCAGAATAGCAGAGCTGGAAGGGCCCTTGCTATTGCTGCTGCCACTGTTAGTCAATGCCAACTCAGGAAGACCCCAGGTGTGCGGAGCAGAACTACTCTGTAGGATTTTCAGGTCTATGATCTGTCAAAAAGAGATGGCCAGATCTCCAAGGCATCTCAGTGTAGTAGTTGAGCACTTAACCATTTGCACTACTCAGGGACCACAACAGGAACCTCTGGAATATAAAGCATGTCCCCCAATTGCTTGTGTAGAAAAAACAGCTCCTAGTATGTTAACACCTAGCTTGTGCTGCTATAGTTAGGTACCATCCAGTAGGTTCTGACTCATAGTGACCCCATGTACAACAGAATGAAACACTTATCAGCCCTGCAACATTCTCACAATCACTGCTTTGTTTGAGGTCTTTACTATACCGTAACCACTGTGCCAATCCATCTCATTGAGGGTCTCCCTCTTTTTGTGCTAACTCTCTGTTTTACCAGGCATGATGTCCTTCTTCAGGGATTGGTCCCTCCTGATGATATGTTCGAAGGATGTGAGACAAAGTCTCATTATCATTGCTTCCAAGAAGCATTCTGGCTGTACTTCTTCTAACACACCCTTGCTCATTCTTCTGGATGTCTGTGGTGCATTTAATATTTTTTTGCCAACACCATAATTCAAAAACTCTTCTTTGATCTGACATATTGTATGAGGGGAAAATGGAAATGGCTGCATGGACAAATCAGTCTGGGAAAAGCTAGGCCAAATAGCGTTAAAGGAGTGTCTTCAACTTCAAGGCTTCTCAGAAACTCACGTTGTCGTTTTAACATAAATATTAAATGTTGACATACATGGTTGATACATGTTTTTCAGAATATCTTTTAGGAAATGCTGGGTTTGACCACCCTCTTCACTGGATAGACAATGTACACGAGACTACTAGAGGACCATATACATAAAACCCAAACCTGTTACTATCGCGTCAATTCTGACTCACAGCGACCTTACAAAAGAGAACAGAAATTCTGTCTTGCTCTCATGGGGAGGTTGGTGGGTTTGAATCACTATCTTTCAGTTAGCAGGTGAATGCCTAACCATGTGGCCACCAGGGCTCCTTATTGGAGGAGGAATGACCCATGTAACGAAACAGCACTCAGGGCTCTACTACAGAAGTGGGGCCAGAGTCTCGGATTCCTCTCCCTGGGTGGCTTTGTGTAATAGACTTCTAGGTGAAGAAGAATACCTCTCCAGAGTGCAAATGCTGCATTTACTCCAACAGTAAGGTCCCCATACCAAAAGAGAATATGCTATCTATGTCACCTTTGATAACCAATATCACATACCAAGTCTAAAGCAAATTCCAGTAGTCATGTTTTATAGCCCATTGATCAATGCACAGCATTTTGATGAAGATCACCTTACAAGTGGCAATAATTTTTCTTTATCACATGCCAAACTTAGCATCACTTCTGGTCCCATATACTTGGTCCATTCCTGGGCTCCACTAATGGTTAATACTGTTTCCATTGTTGACATATAGCTAAATACAAAGTTCAAATGAAACAAAAAGAGACATGAAAAATACTAATAATATATCAGTTATCAAGGGTTCATGAGGGAAAGAGTGGGGGGAGGGAGGGAAAAAATGAGGAGCAAAGGCTCAAGTAGAAAGACAATGTTTTGAAAATGATGATGGCAACATATGTACAAATGTGCTTGACACAATGTATGTTTGGATGGATTGTGATAAGAGCTGTACGAGCTTCTAATAAAATGATTAAAAAAGAAACTAAAAGAGAATTTCATTATATAAGAGCAATGAAAGACTACAGGTATAGCTCCACCATGTCAGCCATTAAAATAGCCAGTGAAACGTTGCCTCTGTACCAACAGGGAGATGGGCTAAGGTTGGTTGTGCCCTGAGTCCACCAAAGAAAAAGAAAAGATGACCAATGATGGTCCCTTTACCTTCTTCTTCGATTTGAAGACGTTACATCTGAAGATATTGCTGGCACCATCTCGAGCAATGTAGCTGAAGATCTTCAAGTCTTGGGAATCATGAGAAACGTAAAAGATCCTAAAAGAAGAGAAACAGAAAAATTCACTGAAAACAGCATCCATTTCAAACCTCCAATAAAACAATCTGTTGAAGAACACCCTGAAGACAAAGTTCACTAAAACCAATTATAAGAGTACGTTTTCTTTACAGGGAATAAAAAAGCCATATGAAGGGGGTCCTTTCAATAGGTCCCATGAAACCACCATGCAGTGACTTCCACGTTTGAAGAGTGAGCAAGGTTAGGAGATGGGACCCACACTAATTACTCCTTGTCTCCTAAGGTGGCAAACCTGTCCCAGGAAATTAAGTGTTAGAAGGGGACCCAATGGCAGGGAGTATTTAGTGAGCTCCCACCAAAACCAAAAGAACCCGGTTGGCCAATTAAGGTGACTTGTTTCGGGGTGACCCTGTGTGCTTCAGAGAAGCACTGCACTCGATTGGATTCTTTTTTTTTTTTTTAATCGTTTTATTAGGGGCTCATACAACTCTTATCACAATCCATACATACATCAATTGTGTAAAGCACATTTGACATTCATTGCCCTCATCATTCTCTCCACTTAAGAACATTTGCTCTCCACTTAAGCCCCCGGTATGGTCCTCATTTTTTCCTCTCCCTCCCTGCTCCCCCCTCCCTCATGAGCCCTTGATAATTTATAAATTATTATTTTGTCATATCTTGCCCTGTCCGACGTCTCCCTTCACCCACTTTTCTGTTGTCTGTCCCCCAGGGAGGAGGTCACATGTAGATCCTTGTAATCAGTTTCCCCTTTTCAACCCACCCTCCTTTACCCTCCCAGTATTGCCACTCACACCACTGGTCCTGAAGGGACCATCGCCCTGGATTCCCCGTGCCTTCAGCTCCCATGTATACCAGTGTATATCCCCTGGTCCAGCCAGACCTGCAAGGCAGAACTCGGATCATGATAGTGGGGGGCGCGAGGAAGCCTTTAGGAACTAGAGGAAAGTAGTATGTTTCATCATTGCTACATCGCACCCTGACTGGCTCGTCTCCTCCCCGAGACCCCCCTGCAAGGGGATGTCCTCAACTGGGTTCTTAAGGCTGTGGTCTCTGGGATCTTCAGAGGCAGCCCTGGGTGGTTTGAAGTGCCAACTTTTGGGTTAGCAGACCAGGGCTTAACCATTTGTACCAACCAGGGACCCCATATCCATCCTTATCAGAGCAATACATGTGCATGTAATGCTGGTAAATGTAGACTAGTTTCCTAAGACCTGTTCCATCAAAACACAACAAAAAGACCACTGCCACGGAGTCAATTCCAAACTCATGGCAACCCTATAGTACAGAGTAGAACTGCTCCTTTGGGTTTTTGAGACAATACATCTGTGATATTAAATAATTTGTCAACTTGACACATAGATGTGTAGGAGTAGAGTCTAGTCTGTCAATCAGGTCACAGCCTGATGGTGGCTCCTTGTGGGTATGGCCTTCTCATAAGGAGGTCCCGGGAACCCCCGCCCCTCTTTCTCTGCCTTCACCTTCCTGTTGACGAACCATGCAGAGACCTGCCAGAGCCCTGTGATGCTTCCATAGCCATTGGATTCACAAGACTTTTTACCCACTGGCCTGTGATCTTCTCGCATTTTGCATCATTGCACGTGACTGTGTGAGTCTGAAGAGGGACTTGTGGACTAGTATCAGATTTAAGGATTTGAGTTGGACTGGGCTGGGATGTTCTCCTGATAAACAATTACTTCTTGATATAAAGCTCTTTCTTACACATATATGAGTGTCACTGGATTTGTTTTTCTAGTCAACCTGGCCAACACAACATCTTTATGGGAGCGAATAAGTTCATTTCCTGGGGAGCTGGCTCACTTGTGGGTTCGAATTGCTGACCTTGCAGTGTATAGTCCAACATGTAGCTCACTATGCTACCAGGATTCCTGCCTGTTTCATTGTTATCCTCTAAAGAGGAGTCCTCCCCAAAAGGAATGGGCAATGCTGAAAAGATTAGGAGCCACTGAGACATACCATGGGTCCCCGGATGGTAATGATCCCACTTCCCTTTGCCCCCTGACAGCTTCCATGTATTCATCCTGTCATTCGATCAGTCCTAAAAGCAGCGGTCTCAAGTCGATTCCAAACATGGTGACTCCCTGTGTGTCAGATTAGAGGTGTGCTCCACTGGGGCTCCAATGGCTGACTTCTGGAAACAGACGGTCAGGCCTTTATTCTGGAGCACCTCTGGGTAAACTTGAACCTCCAAACCTTGGGTTAGCAGCGGAGCACATTAACCATTTGTACTACTTAGGGACACCTCCTGAGTATATATTGCAGACGAGGCGCCATCTAGGGAGTGGAGATACAGCTGGGGCAGGAGAAAAGCCCTGAGCTCATAGAATTTACACATAGAAAATAATTGCTATGAAGAAAATAAACAGAAAACAAGTTCCATGAAGGAAAACAAAGGCTCGTGGAAGGATCAGTCAAAGATCAGACGATGCATTGCATTGGGTAAATCTGCTCCACCAGACCTCTTTAGAGCGCTGAAGAACAAGAGGTCACTGGAGATTAAGGTGTGTCTGACCCAAGTCGTGGAATTTTCAGTCCCCTCACAGGCAGTGAAAGTTGGGCAATGAGTACGGAAGACGCAAGCAGAATGCATGCATTTGCGTTGTGGTCCTGGCGAAGAGGAGTACGGAGGGGACTGTGGGCTGTCAAAAGAACAGACCCATCTTGGAGGATGTACAACCAGCATGCTTCTTAGAAACAAGGATGGTGAGACTCTGTCTCATGTACTTTGTTTTGCTTTTAGGGAGAAACTCTCCCAAGCATTTTTTGTTGGGGGAAAAAATAAAGGACAAAAGTCATATACAGAAACTTATCACCTCAATAGTGACTAAAAGTATCAAGGAATATATCATCTCCTTGGTAAAGTAAGACATGAACATTAAAATAAAAACGTATTCACTAGAATGACTAAGTACTAATTAAAGATGTTCTTACTTCAAGACTCCATGATCATCCAGATGGTTAATGCGTTTAGCTGCTAACCTCCAAGGTTGCAGGTGCATGTCGACCCAGACATGCCTTAAAAGAAATGCCTAGTGAGCTGCCGACAGACAATCAGCTGTGGAAAACCCTGAGATGCAGCGTTCTAATTACACACCTAGACTCATCAGGGTTTGGGACTAACTCAATGGCAACAGCATTTTGATTTTCTAACTTCCGATATTTGTACAAAACCTCTGAGCTAATTATCCATGTCTTTTCATGTGAGGCAAATACCACGCCATCTTTTTTGTCTTATGTATATTGGACATGTATGCGATCAGGAGAGATCAGCCCCTGGAGAAGGACCTCATGCCTGGAGAAGTTCAAAGGCCATAACAAAGAGAAAGAGTCTCCAAGAGACGGACTGACAGAGTGGCTGCACATGGACTCAAACGCAACCACTGTGAAGATGGCACGAGACCGGAAGTACCTTGTTTTGTTGGGCTCAGGGTTGCTATGAGTTGGAACTGACTTGACGGCACCTAACAACCACAACAACAACAATAACAACAGGTGGTCAGAGAAGGGTCACTGAGAAGCAGAGACCTGAATGATGTGAGGGAGCCATGCAGATACCCGGCAAAACATTTCAGGAAGTCTGAGCTGCAGACTTAAATGCCTTCAGGTAAGAAGGTGCTTGAATGGGCTGAGGAACTGAGGCCAGAATGACTAGGATGGGATGAGTGTGGTCAGCCACAGGGTCAGAAAAGCAGCCACAGGCTGGAATCCAATAACCTTGTAGGCCATGGTTTTTATTCAAATGGAATGAAAAGGCTTTAGAGCAGTGGTTCTCAACCTTCCCAATGCCGCGACCCTTTAATACAGTTCCTCATGTTGTGCTCAGGTGAGCCCCCAACCATAAAATTATTTTTGTTGCAGGGATCAGGCATCATCAGAACAAAGAATCATATCATAGTGGATGAGGGGTGGGGGAGTGCAGAGTGGAGACTTAAAGCCCATTTGTAGGCCACTGGACCCTTACAGAAGGGTCTCGGGGAGGAGATGAGCCAGTCAGGGTGCGACGGAGCAATGATGAAATATACAACTTTCCTCTAGTTCCTAAATTCTTCCTCCTCCCCCAACTATCATGATCCCAATTCTACTTTACAAATCTGGCTAGACCAGAGAATGTACACTGGTACAGATAGGAACTGGAAACACAGGAAATCCAGGGCAGATGATCCCTTCAGGACCAGTGGTGTGAGTGACAATACTGGGAGGGTGGATTGGAAAGGGGGAACCAATTACAAGGATCTGTATGTGACCTCCTCCCTGGGGGATGGAACCACAGAAGAGTGGGTGAGGGGAGACATCGGACAGGGCAAGATATGACAAAATAATAATTTATAAATTATCAAGAGTTCATGAGGGAGAGGGGAACAGGGAGGGAGGGGAAAAAATGAGGAGCTGATGCCAGGGGCTTAGGTGGAGAGCAAATGTTTTGAGAATGATGAGGGCAATGAATGTAAAAATGTGCTTTGCACAATTGATGTATGTATGGATTATGATAAGCTATATGAGCTCCTAATAAAACGATTAAAAAATTACTGTTGTTGCTACTCCATAACTGTAATTTTGCTACTGTTATGAATCATAATGTAAATATCTGATACGCAGGATGCATTTCATTGTTACAAATAGAACATCATTAAAGCATAGTGATTAACAATATATAATTATATATTGTGAAATATTTCTAATGACAAATAAATGAAATTTTGTCTTGAAGCATGGTGTAGCATGGTTAACATTCTTCATGCTGGGTGCTTGTATGTGGGCGTATCTGCATGTGGGCGGACCTGCCTGGAGACAGATAGAGGAACAGTGTCTGGATTCCTAGGACTATCAGAAATATATGTTTTCTGTGAAGGGTCATTTGACCCTCAGAGGGGTCACGACCCACAGGTTGAGAACCACTGCTTTAGCGCAAAGGTTTATACCTTAAAGGATTTTGGGGGGAAGGGGGGGTGATGGGTAGGGAGGAGGACCTAGCGAGATG